GTCCTCCTCTCTCCCCCGAGCCCTCCCTTCTACCTTCTCTTTCCCTCATGTCCCCCCTCCTTTCCCTTACATCCCCTCTCCTACCCCTCATTCCCTTCCCTTCTCCCCCCGTTTCTCCCCTTTCTTCCCCATTGCGCTCAGTTTCTCCCCTTGCGTTCCGTCATTTTCGCTGCCTTGCCCCTGTCCTACAATCTCCCCCCAGTTCAAACCCATGCACTCAGATTTCCCTCCCGTTTGCACTCATTTCACCCCTTCTCCCCCCCCCTGCTTCCTCTCCTCCCCCCCCCTGCTTCCCCTCATTTCCCCCCCTGCTTCCCCTCATTTCCCCCCCTGCTTCCCCTCATTTCCCCCCCTGATTCCCCTCATTTCCCCCCCTGCTTCCCCTCATTCCCCCCCCTGCTTCCCCTCATTTCCCCCCCTGCTTCCCCTCATTTCCCCCCCTGCTTCCCCTCATTTCCCCCCAGGTCGCACTTCCCCTCCCCCCAGGTCGCACCTTCCCGTTCCCCCTCACAGAGCACCTTCTCACTCCCTCACAATGCACTACTCCTCCCTTCCGTACGCTTCCATTCCCCTCCAATCCCTTCCCTTATCTTTCCCCTTACCTCTATTCCTTTCCCTTCGATCCCTTCCCTTCCCTTCCTTCCCTTCCCTTCCCTTCCCTTCCCATCCATTCGCGTCTCTTCACCTCCCTGCCTCCCTTTTTTTTCTCCTTGCCTTCCCATCTCTCCTCCCTACATCACCAAGTGAGTGTGCTACCTCCACTGGTGTCCTGCTATGTGTAGGACGAAACTGTGCCTTCACATGTTTGGTGGCGCAAGGGTGCAGCAGCAGGCGCAAGAGCACTTAGAGGAGCTGAGGCACTAAGTGGAGTGGTGGCACACTGATTTGTTCTCTATGTATAGCAGTGATGCAAAAGGAGACCTTCACAGAAAACCGAACATTTAGATATCCCGAACTTGAAAATGAATGTATATTCTGTTGTGAATAACATGACATCCACGTAGGCTCAAATGGAGAGGGTCCACACTATCCTAAGATCGACTATTGGTAGTTGCCATCTTGTTTGTTTCATGCACAATTACCTGCACCACAGAAGGGAGTGGGGGGTGCGAAGGAGCAGACAGGGGAGCATAAACAGATTGTAAGATAATGAGTGGCGTAGGGACAACGAAGGGGAGAGCAAGAACAAGGGAAAAGAAAGAGTGAGCAGGGGGGAACAAAGGGTAAGCAGCGAAAAAGAAAGAGTGAGCAGCTGGGGAGGTGGAGGGCGCGGCATTGATAGCAGTGACGGGTGGGACAGAGCTTTGAGGGCCAGAAGATTGGTTGCCAGGACTTGCAATTGATGGGGTGGAGGCGCCAAGAAAGGGATGGGGGCCAAGAGAGGAAGGAGAGGCGAGCGAGGGAGGAGGCGTGGAGGGAAGGGAGAGAGTGCAGGAGCGGAGGCAGTGGGAGGACGGAAGGGAGTAGAAGGGAAGGAAGTGCGGCGTCGCGAAGGGAGGGGATGGGGAGGCAGATGTGCGTGGGAGGGGTTTCTATCAAGCCATGATGAGTACAGAGAGTGGGGATAGGACACAGAAGCACGACATAACAAGGAGGGTAAACGGGTATGAGAGAAGAGCGGTGATAGGGCCAGGACACGGGAGTGGGGGCGGGGAGGAGGGAGAGCTGGACAGACACGAGAGAGTGAAAGAATGACGAGGAGAGAGAAATGACGGGGAGGTGAGGAAACAGAGAGAGGAGAGTGATGACAGGGCGTGGTTTTCTTGACAGAGTGGGAGATTTGACAAGCAGGGAGAGAGCACGTGTGGGGCCATTTTGACAGGGAACTCAGGTATGGCGTGAGTGGTTGATGGCAGCCGCCCTTCCACCTGCTGCCCCACCCTCTGCCGCTCCTCCCTCTCTTACCCCACCCTCTGCTTCTCCACGTTGCACTTGGAAATATGGGAATGTCGGCAACAACACTTGGCACCTGTTTATCAACGAGCTACCCTTACGCCAGACGTCCATCCATCTGGTGAACCAGGAGGGTGATGGCAGAGGGCAGGACAGGGAGGGGCTTGAAGGGAGAGAGGGAAGGGAGGATCGAGAGAGCAGGGAGTGGAGTGAGAGAAGATTGAGAGAGGGGACAGAGAGGGGAGAGAGGGACGCAGGCATGATGGCATGAATGCACTCCCTCTCCCTCTAAAATCTCCCGGACGTGTTTCTTCCGCCTACCGCCCATCATGGCTCCCGCTGCCGTTGCCACTGCAGCGCTGCCTGCTGCAGCGAGACCGCTAGTTACTGGCGCTCCTGCTTACGAGGATTCTCTGCTTCGATATAGCGCAGGCGCTCCGCAGATTCATCGCAGTTGGTGCAGTCGGGTCAGTCGGCGCGGGGCTGGCGCGGGCGTGGGTGTGCGCTCGCGCGGAGGGGAGGACGGCGGGGGCAGCGGACGTTGAATGCGGGTCCAGCGATCAGATTCTCTATATCGAAGGTGCGCTGAACGAACACGAACGAAACGCTGTGGGGAGGGAGAGGGCGACGGGAGGGGGAAGGCGAGGTCGACGAGAGGGGGAAGGCAGGTCGACGGGGAAGCAGATGGAAGCGGCTCCTTCCGTCCCCCTCGAGCCCCCCCCCCTCCCCGTCGCTCCTCACTCCAGTCCGCCATGCGCGCGAGATTGCTCCTTGCTCCCGTCCGCCCCCTGCGCAAATACGCTGCTACCTCCCGTCCACGCCTTGGCCTAAACCGCTGCTCCCTCCCTTCGCCTGTTCCTCCCGCGTAATCGCGGCTCACTCCCGCGGAACGGGGCGAAGCAGGGGAAATGACGAGCATCGAGCGGAGCTGCACGAGTGGCAACACTGAAAGCGGGGTGCGGAAAGCGGGAGCAAATGCGCCGAGCTGAAAGCGGGGAGCAGGATGCAGCGAGCAAGCCCCTTGCGACGCGCTGGTTGCAACGAGCAACGTCAGTTCTGCGGCGACCGTCGCCGAGTGGGCTGCGACACGCGGCGACTAGCGGCCATTCGAGCTTCGAGCTATGAGCGGAAGGTGACGCGGCAAGGCTACGATTATAAGACTATAAATGGCATCAACACGCCTACGAACGATGATTTGAATTGCTCGCTATCGGCCAGCGACGAACTGCGACATTTGAACCGTGGCAATCTATCCGTCTGTTTTGACAAATAGCGAGATGTTCTAAACTCTTACCGAGTCTAACGCTTCCTAAGGCTAATAAGAGGTCATTGGCGGGCCCTTTGCTTTTGTGGCTGGGTTGTTGTGGAGCGAGTTTTGGTACACAAACTCCATTGCAGTATTAGCAAGTTCCCAAACAAGTTACCTTCACGCACAACTGACAAGGGGGAACACCTCGTCGCTCTCCGCAAGGGTTGGGGCAAATAATTGTCGCCCTCCACTTCCTGCCACAAACCCAGTAACCACCCAGAGGCAAGTGATAAACCTTTGCCTCCACCCCCCCAAAGTGCACCCTTGCTTTAATAAAGCTCGTGGATCCGAGGGGCCTCTTTTTGAGTGGATAAATGGGTAATAAACCAATACTCACCATCTGCAGGGTCAATGTGAACGACCTCGGAAGCTATGGTAAACGAACCAAGAACAGGCGATGGCTGCGCACAACAGCAGACATCATGGTACTTTCTGACACAAGGATTAAGGAGGACCATAATTTCTGGAGTGAGATAAGACCAAGAGCGTGGGCTGCGGTCGGACCAAGCCACGCGGCGGGCAGGGTTGCAGTCATGAGTTTTGGCAGGCAAATCCGCTTTTCTGATGTCATGCCGGATCCTTCTAGTAGGCTACTAGGGGTGACAGTGGAAGGAGGGGAGGAGACTTTCAGGCTTGTCACGGCCTATCTCCTTGCGCAGGCCTGTAATAGGGTGAAGTTCCAAAGGGAACAGCTGGTGCCGTTTGTACAAGCGCACCCGCAATCTAAGCATTCAATCCAAGCATCTTGTGATGGTGGGAGATCTGAACATGGTAGCAGACCCTGATCTGGACAAGTCATCAGGAGCAGGGTCGGGGAGGGAAAATCAAAGGTCCTTGACGCCTGGCAGGGGTACGATCTTCGCGACGCTTTCCGGGCCCTGCATCCCACGGAAAAGGAGTATACTTTCAGGGTGAGAGCAACGCAGTCGAGGTCCCGTATCGACACGGCTCTGGTGTCTTTGTCGCTGCTTGGCAATCCGAAAGGGGCGCGGCATGTGGAGGTACTAAGAAAGTTGTCGGACCATTGGTTTGCCATTAAGATTCGGCTGAAGTTCGTCTCCGAGCACGCGTATGGTCCGGGGCTGTGGAGGTTCTAGGCAACACGGAGGAAAAAGGAGGGGGTGAGAAAGGTCATTCAATCGATCAAGGAGGCACTCAGCCGGTCAGGAGGAGACTCCCTGGAGTGCATGATATCAAGGCTCACGGTGGGTCTGCGTGCGCATGAAAGGGAAGAAAGGAAGAGGGTGATGGCGACACAGCTGCATCTCACGGAGGAGGTGGAGCGAATGCGACATCTGGTAACGGGCGGTCCGACGGATGATAAAACAAAGGCCTTGCTATAAGCTAGGGAGGAACAGTTGGAAGCGTACCGTGAGAGCCAGCGGGAGAGACTGGAGGTTTTCGCAGGCCTCACGATGGAGCTTCAAGGGGAGATCCCGTCGCCATACCTCTCGGCGAAAGTCAAAATGAGGAAGGAGCGTACGTTAATAGATGAGTTGCAGTTTAAAGGGGAGCGGTGCAGGGGGTCGCAAGCGGTACTTAAGGCAGCATCGGCACACTTTGTGGAAGCCTTTAAGGAAGTCCAGGCGAGGGAGCAGGCGCAACCTGCAGATTTTACACTGGACTAAGTCATGCCGGCGGAAGCGGTGAACATGCTCGGGGCCTTGTGGACGGAGCCAGAAGTTAAAGCTGCATTGGTCGAGCTGCCAAAGGGGAAATTGCCAGGTCAAGATGGCCTCCCAGCAGAGCTCTTCGTGACTCACTAGGACCTGTTGGGGGGAAGTTTCATGAACTTTGTATGAGTTTTAGAGGTGACGGGGATTTTGCCGGAGTCGCTGACGACGGCGGTGACGGTTCTGCTGCACAAAAAGGGGAGAAAGACTTGCTTACCAACTACAGGCCAATCACTCTCCTCACGACGGTTTACAAAGTCCTGGCGAAGGTTCAGGCAAACAGGCTAAAACAGGAGCTGCATCACATAATCTCAAAGAAGCAACATGGTTTCATACCGGGCCGCAGCCTGGCAGACGCGGTGGCGGTGGTGGCAGACGCGATAGAAGCAGCGGACAATGACGGGGAGGACTGGTACCTCCTGCTGGTGGATTTCCAGAAGGCCTACAACACAGTGTCGCGGCCCTTCCTCTTCAAAACGCAGGCGAAGCTCGGGCTGCCGGCACAATTCGTCAAATGGGCAGAAGGCCTGCATAAGGGGTCGGGGACAAGATTGGCGGTTAACGGTTGGCTAGAGAGCATGTGGAGATGCAAAGAGGGGTGAGGCAAGGGTGCCTTCTCGCGCCTTACATTTTTCTCTGCGCTCTGGAGCCACTCTACGCTGAGGTCAGAAGACGCGACCTGGGGGTCAGAGCTGACGGCGGAGATGCGGTGTCGTATGTGGGTTATGCGGACGATAGCTCTTTGATCCTTTGAGGGGAAGCTCAACTGCACTCAGCGGCGGAGGCGCTTGACTGGTTCGGGGAGTTGTCAGGCCTGCACATTAACCGGGACAAATCGATCGTCATGCCGTTGGGGAGGAACAAGGGCAGAACATCGTTACCTGGCGTTACCTTCAAGTGGGCGGAGGATGGGGTTCCCGAGCGGCTGCTGGGCATCTGGGTGTCCCCTGACAGCGACGCCGCCCCCTCTTGGGAGAAGGCATGGGAAAGGGGGAGAAGAGAGCTGGCGAAGTGGGAGAGTCAACACATGTTGACGGCGGCAAGGGTCACAGCCATCAACAGTTACATTATGCCGATATTCCTGTTCCAGGCGCAGATCTGCCCGCCACTGGAGGAAATCTGGGAGAAAATTTGTAAGACATGTGACAACTACGTTTCGAAGAGGGAGGCGACGGCGGAGAAGATTTTCGTCCTCTGGAGCGGAGAGCTGGCCCGGCAGCCAAAGAAAGAAGGGGGGCTGGGGCTTATCGATCCGAAGGACCGGCTGGATAGTCTGGCAATCCGCCAGGTGGGGAATTTTCTGACAGAGCAAGACGCCGCTAAGCGGTGGCTGTTGGAGAAGGCAGCGGCGCTGCCGTAAGGGGTGGCGACCTTCTTCGCCCATAAGTCCGCCGAGAGGCACTGGGAAAAAGGCAGCCGGAGATGGAAAGCGATAGCTGAGTTTTTTTTAGAGTCACCATTCGCGGACCTCCCAGCGCCATCCAACGGCTAGGAAGTCGAGCGGGAACTACTGTGCTTCAACCGGCGCATCATGTTCCAAGGGGGGAGCCCGTTCGGGAATTGAAAGCGAGCGTCAGGGATCCGGGCAACCAAGATAGGAGACCTGCTCATCACCAAAGAAGACGGGAGCAGAGACATCGAGAATATTGAGGCATTGAGGGCAGACTTTGGGAGCGTGGCGTCAGCAAGGTGGGCGAAAAAAGCGTATGAGGCGGTCCCGGCAGAATGGAAAATGATGCTGGCAGCGCCGAGGTCCGCGAAGGCAGTAGGCGGCTGCGAAAGTGATACGAACGATTCTGGCGCGTACGCAGGAGTTTCTACACTGGACAGTGCGAGGCGTAAAAGACGGAAAGGTGGCGACAGACAATCTGGACTGTTCGGATGGCTCAAACCTGGTCGTGCCACAGAGGCCGTACGCAGTAGCCTTCCCCATTAGTAGCGTGGAGCCGGTGGCGGTCAAAGGCGGCAGGGTGCTCGGGGCCATGGGGGAGCCGAGGGCTAAAATCTGCAAAACCTCACTGGTGGACGGAAGCTTGAGGCTGGCAGCGCCCAAGGAGATCAGGAGGGCGCTAGCAGGGCCGGTGATGGCGTCAAGACGGAGACATGAGTGGGAGGAAGAGTAGGGTAATAAAATCGACTGGAAAGCGGTGAGGGAAAGAAAAGACTCCCTGGTGATCCCCTACAGAGCACAGGACGTGGTGCTGAGGATGCACAGCAAAAACCTGCAGGTGGGGGGGAGGCTGGTTTTTCTTGGCGCCAGAGGCTGCTGCCCACACTGTGGGGAGCCTGAAACCCTAGTTCATTGTGTTGTTCAGGATCCGTCACTTTGAGAGCTTACGACGAACTAATTTATCAACTAAACGCAAATCCGCTCAGTAGGAAGTTGCGCCTTAGGCTTAGCTACCATTTCCAAGTTGAATGAGTCGTTAAGATGGTCTAAACAGTGAGAATCAAGTAAAAACGTCCAGCAGCCGCATGACTAGAATGGTAGAGGAAGTACAAGCATTAAGGCATAGGAAGTTGGAGTTGGGGACTCCAAGAGAACCATGAGAGCGAAGGGGTTCTCCAAGAGCTAGGGAAGGATGGTATGAACCTTCCTAGCAGCAAGGATGCAACCCTCATCATGAGGTCCTTGAGGTGTCACATGCAAAATCCAATCTAGTTGGATTTTGCCTAGGTGTTGCAACATTTGCAACCCATGCTAGAAACTTCTAACCACCCCAATCCAAAAGTCAAAGTTGCCTTCCCTAACCACCCAACCAAAGATCCCTTTATATTCATGTCCCAAGTAATCACCCAAATTAGATATAACCCCAAAAGGTAAATATGAAATCCAAGTCTTGGAAATCTTGTAACTTGGGCGATCTTGGTCGGAATAAGGCGATCTTGGTATCGTTGGAAAGCTCTGGAGTTCTCCTGCATGATCAAGCATTTAGACTTGGAGAAGAACACAGAGATGATAATATCCAACAGTCATGCACAATGACATATGCTCATGCAAACAATGCACGCATGAATAGCACGAGCACTCGGCAGGACGTTAGGATGACATGCACTCAGAATGACGTGCATCCAACAAACTCCCCCTCAGACTAATGGACTGCATGCACACACACTCACACACATGCAAACTCTCATGCACACAATCACACATGTACTCATGACACTGCTGCCCACACTAGTGCAATGCCATGCCACACATCTTAGCACACTTCCAATGTGCACTCTCGGGAAGTCTCTTGGTGAGAAAATCTGCCGCGTGCTTGCTAGCCTTCACATGGTGAAGCTCCACAATCCCCTCCTTCACCATCTGCCTCACCCAGTGCCACTTGATCTTCATGTGCTTGTTCAGCCCATTCAGGATAGGATTATTGGCCATGCCAATAGCAGCCTCGCTGTCGGAGAAAAGTGGTGTAGGTCCCTCCTGTTCAGCTCCCATGTCCTCCAGCAGCTTCCTCAGGAGCACGATCTCCTTGATGGCATGGTACATCGCCATGTACTCTGCCTCTCCGGAAGACTGAGCAATCTAACTCCGCTTCTTGGACCTCCAGCTCACTGGTCCACCTCCGACCATGCACACAAAGCTGCCTACTGATGACTGATCCTCCTCCTCTGAGGCCCATGTGGCGTCGGTGAAGCACGACATCTTCAAGGTTCCAGGCGTGACCCCATCTGCTCCAATCTGTTTCAGCTGGCCTCTAGCCGAAAACTGAACACCAGCAGATGCCGTTGATCCAAGGTAGTGCACCAAGCGCTTTGCCACCTCCAACTGCTCCTCAGTGGGCCGCTGCACAACTCTGGCCAGCTGCCCCACTCCGAATGAAGCATCAGGTCGCGTATGCACAGCTGCATACATCACACTCCCAATGAGTGACTGATACTCATTCTGCTGCTCATCCTCGAGTACATCATCCTCCTCAGCTGCCTTCTTCAGATTGAAGCCCGCAGGGAACGGTGTCATCACAGTGCGACCCCCGGTTACACCATACCGCTCCATGACACCAGAGATGTAGTGTGACTGATGCACCTTCAGCCACCTCCTGTCAATATCCCTCTCAATCTGCAGCCCCAAGTAGTAGTGGACATCCCCCAGCATCTTGCACTTGAAGTTGTCCACCAGCAGCTTCTTTGTCCTCTCAATCTGCTCCATGGAAGGCGAGAACAGTAGTATGTCGTCGACATACACCAGCAGCAAGAGCAGCTGCTCCCCCTCTCCAAGCAGAAACAAGCTGTGATCCGCCTGGGACGTCTTGAAGCCTCCACCCAGCAGCACCTCCTCCAGCTTCTCGTACCAACACCAGGGCGCTTGCTTAAGGCCATAGATGGCCTTCTTAAGCTTCCACACCCGGCTGGTCCCATCCTTATAGCCGTCGGGCTGCGCCATGTAGATATCCTCCAGCAGCACTCCATTGAGGAACGCAGTGGTGATATCCACCTGCTTCACGTGCCATCCCTTCATAGCTGCGCCAGCCATCGAAGTCCTCAGTGTCCTCAGTGTCAATGAGACTGTTGAACTCCGCATCCATGGCAGCCTTCCACTCCTCCTTCTGGGGTCCACTCAGTGCCTCCTCTACTGTGGCTGGTTCTCCACGCAAGGGTATGAAGAAACAGAACGCCATCTCCTCATCCTCTCCCTCATCCGCATGAACCGCCATGGCACCTTGCTTGGGTCCTCCCAAACGGCTATACTTCAGCCTTGAGGGTGCTGCTGCCACTCTCTTCTCGCGGGTTGCAGTCTGCTGCCCATGTGGTGAAGCTCCTCTCTGCACACTCCTCTTGGTGACCTTGGCGTTTGCAGCAGGCTCGGGCTGAGTTGGTGAGTCCACACGTGCCGACTCATCCTCCAACCCCTCCTCCGCAGCAGGACCAGCACCTTGCTGCTCACCACCGCCACTGTGGTCATTGGTCAGCTCTGACACAGGGAGATCCTCAAGGTGCAGCTGAACCTCCTCCACTGCAAACCGCTCAATCTCCTGCAGACGCAAGCCAATCTGCACCTGCTGCTGCTGCTGCTGCTGCTGCTGCTGCTGCTGCTGCTGCTGCCAATCCTTGTACGTGACGTCCTCCACAAACTTGATGTCACGACTGACCAGCGTCTTCTTGCTCTTGGGGTCCCACATCAGCCACCCCTTCGAGTCAGGAGCCATCCCAAGATGGACAGCCCACACAGCAGCAACTTCCAGCTTGTGCCTCTGCTCCTTAGGCACCATCACAAGCCCCATGCAGCCCCACACCCGCAGCATGTCAATGGATGGCTTCTTCCCAAGCCAACGCTCGTACGGCACCCAATGCTTGTCGCCAACATGAGTCAAGACCCTGTTCTTGACCGTGATGACATGGCGAACGGCATCAGGCCAGAACTTGTAGGGCATCCCAGCAGCCCCCAACAAGGTCTTAGCCGCCTCGCCAATGGTCCGGTTGGCACGCTCAGCAATGCCGTTCTGCTGCGGTGTTCTTGGGCAGGTCAGCTGGTGTTGGATGCCGTTCCTCTTGAGAAATTTGGTGAATTCCGCTCCAAGGAACTCCCCACCACGGTCGCTCCTCAGCACCTTCACCAACCGTATCGCTTGCCGCTCCACCATCGGCAACCAATCCTCCTTGATCGCCGCTGCAGCATCGCTCTTCTTGGACAAGGGACGTACCCACGTGAAACGACTCCATTCGTCCACCATGGTGAGGAAGTACAGCACTCCCCCAGTCCCCTCAGTCCTCATAGGACCCACCAGGTCCATGTGCACCACCTCTAGTGGCGCCTTCGCTGATCCCTCCGCACGTGGAAACGGGAACCGCGCAAACTTGTTTTGCATGTACGCCTCGCAGCTGCCATAGTGAGCGCCATCTTCTTGCAGTTGCAACCCATGCACGCACTTCTCCTTGTGCATCACCTCCAATGTGGAAACAGCCACATGTGCGAGTCGCCGATGCCAAGTCTCCCAATCCGCTTGGCCCGAGGTAGCCGACGCCTTCACTGTCGCGCTTCCTCCAATCAGCTCCTCTCCTTGCACACCTTGCTGCTCCTCCTCGGTGACACTCTCCTCCATAGATGCCGCCACTGCCGCCTTGCCCGATTTCCGCCAAGGGAGGACCGGGATCTGCCACATCCGCTTGTGGACATCCCCTTTCTACTGCAGGTTCCAAATCAGCCGCTCATCGTTGTAGGCACGATAGCGCTCCGAGCCAATCGTCTCGGTGTTCACACCCGCATCTCCCAAACGGCTGGTAGAAATCCGGTTTGCGCACAAGTCCGGCACCCACAGCACGTTCTTCAGCCCCACGAGCTCTCCATCCGCTCCCATGAACTTGGCGCATCCCATGCCCATGACCTTGGCCTTGGCGCCCGTCGCGGATGTGACTGTAGAG